CAATGGTTACTGGGTGGAGAAGGATAAAACTACAATTAGGTCCCAGCTTGATGGAGGGACACAGGACAGACATCTGGACTCACAGCGAAGGATTTCCCTGGCCGTGACTGCCGGTGGAAGAGCTTCCCATCAGCTGGAGACTGGGATGTACTTCTCGAGGACTAGTAATGGAGGAGAGACAGAGGAGCTGAGGATGCAGCCGTTGAATGAGATTACTGATAATAAGTGAGTTGTCGTGAGCTAGTCCGCAAACACCGTCACGCCAAATCACGCCAAAATTCAAATTTCAGCTTCGATCGCCTTGGGTGGTACCGAATGGATGACACCGGACACTTCCATGTGAACAACGGAGTGGTGAAGATGGATGATATTCACAAGGCCAAGGTGAAAAATTGCAAGGAGCAGACTTATCGATCGATTTTGGCGGCGAATAATTATGTAAGTACAGGTATTAGGAGACCAGGCCTTAGTGCGCCAGGCCGGAGGGATTCCGGCTTTAGGAAGGCCTTAGGAGGACTTTGGACAGATTTTGGACAGGCGCTAGGCCTTAGACAGACCTTTGACAGTCGTTAGACTTTAGACAGACCTCAGACAGACCTCAGACAGACCTTAGACAGACCTTAGACAGACCTTAGACAGACCTTAGACAGACCTTAGACAGACCTTAGACAGACGTTCGGCCTTAGACAGTCCTTAAACCTCTGACAAATCTTAGACAGACCTTAGATACTCCTTAGACCTCAGACAGACCTGGGACAGTCCTTAGGCCTCAGACAGACCTTAGACAGACCTTAGGCATACCTTAGACGGACCTTACACAGACCTTAGACAGACCTGAGACAGGTGTTAGGCCTCAGACAAGCCTTAGACAGATATCATACAGGCTTTAGACCTCAGACAGACCTTAGGCCTTAGACAGACCGCCATAGGCCTTAGACAGACCTTAGACAGACCTTAGACAGACCTTTGACCGAAACAAATCGAAAAATAATTTTTCGGAATTTTTCGGGATTTTTCGATTTTTTTTTTTGAATTTTTTCGGTTTTTTTTCAGGAAAAATGGATAAAAAGGCGGTTACAACATAAAAGTTTACAACAAAAAACCCGTTTTTTCCGGAATTTTTCTTTTGGTTTTTTCAGTTTCAAACGGCGAAAAATTTTTCGGAAAATGACAGAAAAAACCGAGAAAAATGAAATTTTCGAAAAATTTTCACACAGCTCTGGTCTTAGACGGACCTTAGACACTTCGAAAAACCAAAACATTTTCCAGATGCCCAACCACTTCAACCTAACCAAACCCCTCGAAGTCATCAAGCCCTGGATCCAATCCGCCCGGATTTTTGACAGCTCCTCTCGCCAAGCCATCGTCACCCACGCCGAGGGTACCAACCTCCAAATCTCCATTCACCTAGATGACGACGTCGACAGTCAGAACCTCGTCTTCTTCCACAACGCCTCCAGAATCCGTGACTTTTCCGGATCCATCATAGTGGATTCCAAGTCAAATCGTCTATTCAACCTTACGGTCTATGACGCTTCTGGAAAAATCGATGGCTCCGTAAAGATGTCAACTGGGTTTGGGTCAGACACTATTCACAGTTTTACTGCCTATGTGAGCAATCTACATGCTGCAAACCGTTCTATGATCATCCCACTGCCCGCTATCGTAGGCCCGGGGTCCAGGACAATCTGCCTTCGTGCAGATTCCATGGCAGATATCGATAGTATTTGCAAGGTGATCGAGTACTTCGAGAGCCCCCTGGAAATCGATTTGGTCGAAGGAAAATGGCACGAAATGATCGGTACCTGCCCCACTTGCAATCAGGTCACCTTCAATGGAATGATGAAGTTCCTTAATCCGGCTCACTGGGTGAAAGGGATCAGCTCCCTGGGGGATGGTGTCATGGTGGCCACTGATATCGTCGTCTACTTCTTGGTCCTGGTTATCCTGTATCTTTTGATAACGAAAATTATTATTCCGGTAACTGTGAAAGTGATTATCCCCTTGTGTGAATGCTGGATTTGCCCTTGTTTTGCTGTGTGCTGCCGGGGGGTCTGTGGAGGATCGTCTTCATCGTCGAAAAGCAAGAAAAAGAGCAGTGAGAAGAGGAGGAAGGAGAGGGAGGAGAGAAGGAGTGATAGGAAGGAGAGGAGGGACAGGTAAGGGACTCTTGGGAGTTGGTGGGTAGTTCACAGATCCTTAGAGTTAGGTTTAGTTGGAGGTTTTTAGTTGGAAATCTCAAATTTTGAGCAGGATTTGAATTTTGGAGCCAAATTGAGCGCAAAAATTGAGTTACTGAGTCAAAACTCGAAATTGTGAGCCGAATTCCGATTTTCGAGCCTAAAATGGGCTTTTTATGCCAAAATTTGTAAATATGAGGTCCAATTTCGAATTATGGGCCCAATTTCGATTTTTCGAGGCTGTTTTCAATTTTTTGAGCAAAAATTTGAGTCTCTTGAGCCAAAATTTATGTTTTTAGGCCAAAATTTGAGTTTTTGAGCCAAAATTCAAGTTTTTAGGCCAAATTTTGGGTTTTTGAGCCGAAATTTAAATTTTTTAGGACCAATTTGAAGTTTTTGAGCTCAATTTCGGTTTTTGAATGCCAATTTTTGAACTTTTGAGCCCGAATTCGAATTTTTGAGCCCAATTTTCAGGTTTGGAGCCCAAACTTTAAATTTTCGAGTCCAACTCTGAACTTGTGAGCCGGAATTTGAGTTGTTGAGCTTAATTTTGTAATTTCAAGCCTGAATTTGAGTTTTTCAGGCCAGTTATGAATTTTCGGACCCGATTTGGAGTTTATGAGCATAATTTTGAGTTTTTGAACCGAAAATTTAAATTTTGAGCCTAAATTTTGAAAATTCGAGCCCAACTTGAACCGTTTGAGTCGAAATTCGACCGAAAATTTTAAGCATCGATTTCAAATTTTGGGAAATTCGATTAGAAGTTTCAGTCCGCAGGCAAATTGCGAGGGGTGGGGGAGTTTCTATTACAGGTTTTTCAATCCTAAAAGTCCAGACCCCAGGTACCGGGACCACGACGGTCCCTAGCTGTTATCCACTGTACCTACGCTTTTTCTCCCCGCTCATCTGAACCCTTAGAATGATTTTTCTAGTCATGCCCTTATATTAGAGGATCGAACCGTACCCTGTAACTGAACACACGTCCCATTGATTCACTGACATGCCCTTCTATTAGAGCCGTACCTGATAAAAAAACCAACTTTACCTAGTTTAGACACGCCCCCTTACCAAAGAACCAAAATCAATCCCGAACATATTTCTTCCAGATCAAGAAGCGCCTCTCCAGAGAGACATGAAACCCTGGCTCGATTCTATGGCGACCCGTCTGAAGACTACTATCGGGATAGCCGTTATATTTGATCTACCATTAAATATCCATCACCAAAAATCCAAAACACATCTCATAAACGTTATGGGTACACCAAACACCAACCACAGTGCTGATTCGACGACGCGTATTTTTTTATTAATGACTTTTATTCAATTTTTCGATTTTTCTCCCAATGTCCATTTCCTGTTACGGGTGATTTCTTATCCCAAAATAATAATTTTATTCTGTGATTTTACCAATTCTTTCCCTCAAAATGTGCCTTTCAACCCCCCAAATGTTTGCCAACGGTGACCAAATCTTGTAATATATATATCGCCTGCTGAGCGGGTGCCATCTTCAGTTTCAAATAAATTTATTAATAATAAAAAAACTAAAAATCTGTAGCTGAAAACTGACAAATTTCCATTGGAAACATGATGGGGAATTACCCGCTCTAAATTCATTGTTTTTTGTTGAGATTCATAGGAAAAGCAGTGGAAGAAATACGGCGAAAATGAAATGATACGGGTGTTGGGGGGCGTCACTGGTGGCAGAGTACAGGAAACCGGTTAGGAGCGACGGGGAGCAACTGTCTGAAACGAGCAAAACAATTGATTATTTGCTAGAGATGGGATAGGTTGGTTTGGTCAGTCGTGATGACACTCAGGGGTCACCACGCTCAGAAAATGTCTTACTGTAATAGTTTTTGATTTTCCTAAACTTGAGTTATTGAGCCGGAAAATAAGCTTCCGGGATCACAGGTTTTGAGTTTTGGGGCTACGTTTGAGTTTTTGGTACCGATTTTATATTCTTGGCCCGATTTTTGACATTTTTAGCTCAAATTTGTGAAAAGTAATTACAACTTCGACATTTTGGGACTAGATTCGAATTTCTGAGCATGTATGCGATTTTTTGGATCCAGTTTTGAGATTTTGAGCCCAAACTTGAATTTTAGGGGTCAAACTGGAACTTTATGACCCGAATTCCAGATATTGAGCCTAATTTCCAATTTTTGGGCCCAAATTTCAATTTTTGAGCTGCAATCTTGAAATTTTGGGCTCCAAATTCCAGTTTTGAGCTCAATTTTGGGCCCGATTCCGAATTTCAGAGTCCGATTCTAAAATTCAGGCTTAGGTTCAATAACTGGAGCCAAGGCATGGCACCTGAAGCTCAAATATTCAAATTCTCGAGCTCAAATTCGAATTCTGGAGCTCGATTTTGAATTTTTCCCTCAGTTTCGAATTTTTTGAGACATTTTTGAATTTTTTAGTCCTAACTCGGATTTTTGAGCTCAATTTTCAATTTTGACCTCAAATTGTCGTTAAATGGAATTCCCAGTACGCAAGCTTACCTGATGAAGAAAAATTGAGCGATAAAAATGGGGTGGCACTGTTCACGGAGACGTCTTCACAGGAAACACGGTCATAGACCCGGAGGAGATTGATGCGGTCAGAGATGTAGGTCTGGAAGCATAGAATTGAGGAGGTCTTAGCAAGGAATTCCGACTGTAATAAGTCTGGGAGCAAGATTCTGACTGTAGGGAAAAAAACAAAAAGATTTGATAGTTATCGGAATTGAACCAGCGCCCAAAAATTCGAAAACAGCAGCGTTAACCACTACACCACGCTGGCGACAGGAGCAGGGCGGAAATAGAGGGGACTGCAGCTGTCGCCTACGTGGTATAGTGGTTAACGCTGCTGTCTACCAAATTTAGGGCGTGGGTTCGATTCCCAATGGCGTCAAACATTTTTGTTTTTTTTTTCGGGAGCTCCCACTGAAAAGTAAACTCACCATGCAAAACAGCTGTCGTGACAAGCTGTCCCGGGCAATAATGAAGTCATTACCCTCGTGCTTGAAATTGGCGACACACGTCATGTCATCTGAAACTTCATTTTTCTCATTTTTCTCTTTTTCTCTCTCTCTCTCTCTCACCACCCCCATCCGGATACAAACAATCTCGAATCAAAGTCATCGAGTATTTGGATTGGCATCCAACTTGAAGAATCGGCATTGGACACGATGCTGAATAGTGCTTTCCGCCGATTGGACAAGCTTCTTTTGAGCCGTGGAGGATCAGGGTGTCTCTGGATTCGATAGGGAATTCTGAGCAATCGGCGAACGATTCGGAGGCGCTGATCTCGCCGTATTCCACGTGGACAATGTGGGGTTTTCGCATGTGGAACTGAAAGACATTGGAGAGTTCAGGTGAAATTCTGCTATTCTCTCTCTCTCTCTCTCTCTCTCTCTCTCTCTTTCTCTCTCTCTCTCTCTCTCTCTCTCTCTTTCTCTCTCTCTCTCTCTCTCTCTCTCTCTCCCTTACCCTAACACATTGATATCCAACTTTGCACCCCTTCGTCACATATGTCCGATACGTAAAGTGCTCCGTGTCATCCGTAGCGAACTGCTGCAGACAAGTCCACACCGTATCATTCCTCCCCTTCACCGATGAGATCCAGGATCCATGATACATTCGATGATAGGTCCCCAGAAGCATGGACTCCCAGTTTCTGGACTTTTCACCGTACATGTTCTCAGGAAACTCGCAACCCGAGTGGACAGGGGAGTCTGGAACATTTTTATTTGCTCAGGGTCTGAATTAAGTAAACTGACCTTGCCGATAATGGAGGGTTGTTGCTGCCGCTCCGATATGGTTCAGCTCCTGGCATCCAGCATCCGCGGACTCCCCGATTCGTCCACTGGATCCTTGTTTGTCATGAATCTGAAATTTTGTTTTTTTCCTGTGAGTCCGGTTGGTTTTCAGTTTTTTGAGCCCAAATTCAAGTTTTTGAGCATTCTAAACCCAAATTCGAGTTTTTTTTTGAGCCTGAATTTGAAGTTTTTTTTGAGCCCAAATTCGAGTTTCTGAGCCCAGATTCGATTATTCGAGCATTTTATGCCCAAAATCGAGTTTTTGAGCACAATTTCAAGCTTTTGAGCCCAAATTCGAGCTTTTCAGCCCAAACTTGAACTTTTGAGCCGAAATTCGAGCTTTTGAGCCGAAATTCGAGCTTTTGAGCCAAAATTCGAGTTTTTGAGCCCAAATTCTAGCTTTAGAGCCTAAATTCGGGATTTTGAACCTAATTTCGAGATTTCGAGCCCAAATCCGAGTTTTTTGAGTCCAAATTCGAGTTTTTTTGAGCCCAAATTCGAGCTTTTTGAGCTTTTTTGAGCCTAAATTCGAGTTTTTTGAGCCCAAATTCGAGCTTTTTGAGCTTTTTTGAGCCCAAAGTCGAGTTTTTGAGGTTTTTGAGCCAAAATTTGAGTTTTCCGATCAATTACCCAATTTCCCCAACAAAAAAAACTCACAAAACACCGATACTGCTCCCCAGCACTATATCCAACCCTGGCTGCAAAGTAAAATGCTCCAAAAGACTGCCACGACCCGATACACTCCATTTGCCATATCGCGGATTCTCGATTTGGGATCTCCGGACAGGCTTGATAGTGAAGGGCTAGGCGGTCGTATTGGGCACATCTATGGAGGTGAGAAGTACGACTACTGCAGATTCCTTGGCTGGTTTGATAGGTAAAGTTCATGGGAGCCTCGATGGGGCAGGGTACTGGGAGCGCTTCTTCTGGAAATTATCAAATCGTGGAGTTTGTCATGCACTTTTATTAGAGGTAAGATGAAATGAGTTCCACTAGATGCTTGATTACTAGAACCTTCCAGATTGTCATATTAACATTTTTGTTTAAAAAAAATCGGTTCCAACCATGCCCTTCTATTAGAGGTACTCACTCCTAAACAAGGTATGCATTGTGGTGTCGGCGCTCATTAGCTGGGAACACTTCTCTAGTGACATCTCTTGGTCGAATATGCATTGAGCTGAAAAATTGATAGTTAGTTTCCCACGGGGCAGCTCTATTAGAGGCTTCTGAAATCTGTCAAGACTTACTTGTCTTATAATGCAGCACATTCTCATGAACTGGGAAGGTGATCAAGCATCGGTAGCATGGGCCTCGGGATCTGGAAAATGGGTTTTTTGACTCTAGCAAGCTCAATTTTTTATGAATTGAGACTTGTAAATAGTTGAATGTACATCGGAAAATTCTCTATCATTTGATATAAATATCTTATGGGTTTAGGTGAGAAATGTTTCCGAAAACTCTGATTTTCAAGGTTTTTGACCCCATTTTCAGATAAACCCCAACATGGTAATTATACAAATCGGTTGATCCGATTCGATTCTTTATCGATTGGTATGAATAAGGTTCAAAACCAACAAAAAAAAATCAAATTTAAGAGGTGATTTTTGAATTTTTTCGAGGTTTTTTTTAGTTTTAGGTCTTATTTTCTGATAGAATCCCATATGATATGTATACCAATCGATAGAGAATTTTAAGCTTTATTGATTGGTATGAATATCATAAAAGGCTGTATCAAAAAATATGGCTGAAAACCGGAAAATCAATTTTTACAATTAGAGATGATTTTCGATTTTTTTCGAGTTATTTTTCAATTTCTGAGTCAAATTTTTGATAGTGCCTCATATGATATTCATACCAATTGATAGAGAATTTGAAGCTCTATCAATTGATATAAATATCATATGACTCACGTAACTTTTGGCAAATAGCCGTCTTGTTTGGGGCGGTTGCCATATGTAGAAGGTTATTTGGCTTCGTCTGAAAAAAGTGCCATGGTGTGTGACAAGACCGAGAATGCTGGATGATTGATGATTGGGGAGACATTGGTTGGTGAAGAGGAACAATTCGTGGTGATTGATGAAGTTCGTGTGGAGAATAACTCTAGGAGAAATGGACTTCGTGAGGGGCTCGGGGCTCTCGATGGTGCGTGGAGAGTGGTGAG